TATTTAACACTGATCCAGTCTTTGAAAAGACACAGTGTTTTCCATTTTATTTTCTCCTTCATAGCTCCCATTCATTTTCACTTGACTCCCCAAAAAAGCGCATAGAGGACCCCCGACAGTGGGGAGTTTTACAGCCGCCACCCACCCACTGTGTTTCTGTGGAGGTGGCTGTCGAATGTTCCGGCTCAGGATAGTGTTCATCACACAGGAGACACTAGAATCCCATCCTGCTTCTTCACTGTGTCCTCAGCGTCCTGTCCGTTACATAATAATCACACTATGCTGTCACGCTATGTTACTGCCTGCCGCTGTCACAGCAGTGAGAAATTATCACTCCACCGATGTGATGTTGGAGTGTGTGTGTGTGTGTGTGTGTGTGTGTGTGTGTGCACGTTTCTGCTCCAGCTGAAGTTTTGTTTTGGTCAAGGGCACAATTCTCTGCTGTCTACAAGGAGGAGGAGAAGCTACTTGATTAGTTTCTACACGGCACATTACAACACACGCATGCGTCCACACTTACACACAACCCTGCAAGGTCACAGCTGAAGTGGATGTTTCTTTCACACACGTTTTCATACATTTCATCTGAAACCACACAAACCCTACTACACAATCCTGAGTGGGAATTTTGCTTTGTGTTCTGGTGTCCCTTTTTTTTAAGGTGTCTCAGACCAGCATTTTTTGAACGCTGCAAGAGAAGTTAAAAAGTAGAAATACAAGGATGAAACAAAAGGTACAGATTTCAAAGAGGCACTGGTAATATTATCCTCAGGCAAACACACTCTGACCAACCTATCTTTGAGTTGCAAAAACACGGCTTCTGTTTTCTCTTAAGGATTATTTTTATTTTGTTGTTGCCCACGTTTGACAACGTACAATATCTCACAGCCCAGTTAACTGTCGCCTCCAAAGCTTGAACATTTCCCACATCCCACAAGCACGATGAGTTCTACTGCTTCTAATTATGCCAACACATGAACAGATGATACATTTGGTGAACGTGTTGGGCCTCATGGTTTAAACCTGCATTAACCTTAATTTGTTCTGGTCATGTTTCTGTCCGTCTGATGAATTTTAGTCTAATTTCTTTTTTTCTTTTTGCTTGTTTGCTGCTGCTCATGAAAAGTCTGATGAGAGACAGAACCAAAACATTGAAGTGTTCACAACACACATTCATTTCATGTGTTGATATTAATTTTTTAATCATTCTCAGTTTTTCTTGAAGAGAAATCTCAAACTTCAAGTGCCTGTGCGCTCTCACTTTTGTGAAGCTTCATAAATTGCGTCCTCCGCAGATCTGTAATTTTCTTCACCGTCTGCACACTTCACAATTACATTTAGTGATATATTAGATCTAAACGCACAACTGCACATTACCAATTAAGAAATCACTCACAGACCACAGTTAAGATATATTATCGCAATCTGTTACAGTGTCTGTCAGAATCACTGCCACCACCAAAATGATTTGATGTTGATGTTTGGCTCTGATGTAATATTTGCTGTATGTGACGCTGAAAACTTGTTGATGAGGACACTTGTTGATATCTTACTTTTTAGACAAGTAGTCTTACTACATATTATCCGAAGCTGTAAAACATTAAGTGTTCCTTAAAAAGTCCAAACACAACCAACCACTAATTTGTCTTCACAAATTTATACCGAATCGTGAGAAGAGTGATCGAGTCCTATTTCTATCCTCACTCTCTGCAGGGCAGTGGGCACAAAGAAGATCATTTAAAAGATGCAGCACTGTACATAATGTAATGTATAAGCTCAATGAAAAGCTCAGGAAGTGGAGTCCTGCACACTCTCACATTATTTGCACCATAATAAATCTATAAATTATGCAAAAGGCATGCATGCTCATGAGAATGCACACACACACACAGACAAAGGCAGTCATCTATGCAATCGCGTCAAGTCAGCAAAGAGAGATAGGAAGAAGATTTGTTACTTAGTTTCTCAGTGAATGTATTTACAGGAGGGTTGTTTTATTGGAGTTTGAGTTTTGCATCTCTCACGGGTTACTGTGCTTTTGAGAGGACAGGAAGAGAAGGAAGGTGAAGTGAGCAAGCCATGAAGAGAAAAGCTTGTAGCAGGAGGGAACAGAAAATAGGATGCTGGGAAGGAAAACAAGAAGAGATGGGCTGAGAAGGAAGGGGGGATGAAAATCAACAGAGGGAGAAAGGAAAGGAAAGGACAGTGCAGCAATAAACTACACAGCCTAGTTTAACATAAACACTAGCGGCAGGAGGAAACAGCTGGCGTATGGTGGCTCTGTCTAAAGTTCAAAAGTATTTACACCCTCACCTCTAAAACCCATTAATTACTCTTCGCATCCATCCATCCATTATCTGTACCACTTATCCTTTGAGGGTGGTAGGGGAGCTGGAACCAATCCCAGCTAACGATGGGTGAGAGGTGGGGTACAGCCTGGACGGGTCACCAGCTTATCGCAGGGCCGACAAACAAGATTCAAACAACCACACATGCTCACATTAACCTTTATAGGCAGTTTGAGTCACCAGTTAACCTATGCTGCTCGTCTTTGGACTGTGAGTGTACCCAGAGGAAAATAACGTAGACGTGAGATCTTCTCGTTCAATATTCTTGCAAAAAAAAAAAAACAATTTCCCAGATGTGGCTTTAAATATTGACGTTGTGTAAAGCTGATTGTTAGCCAAGTCTCTGAACCTTCAATATACTGCAACGTGTGGCTTTAGCCTTAAAAACCCACTTATACAAAAGAGAGAAGAAACAAAATAAGGGAGAGAGAACAGGGGGGAAATAAAGAAAAAGGGTAGAGAAGGAAGCAAGGACACAAGAAATGTAAGGTGTGAGGAGAAGAGGGGATGGAAAATAAGGCAGAAGAGGGTCAGGAGTTCCTATGCAAGAGCAGGAATTTGAACGGTAGAAAGGATGAGGAGTTGCTGAGGAGCAATATCAGGCATGGATGCTTTCTGAGACACAGTCTGCATTGGAGCGTTGTGGGCGGCGAATGAGAATTGTTCATTCCGTACACACACACACAATCCTCAATATGATTGCAGGTATGAATATCAATGTCTCTCTCAACCCCTGGGTTTAAACCAGGCTTTATGTGGAACAGATCTGTTGTTTGTGTTAGCCCCGTTCTCCATTTGTTGTTGCATTAGATACAAATCTCTGTGCAGATTTGCCCTTGTATTGCATCTTGGCAGTGATACAACACAACCACTCTGTGTCTCTAGGTCTCATGCTTTGTTTTAACTGAAACTCTCTGTAAATCCCTGGCTTCTCTCTCAGCTGGTGTCCGTAAAGTTCACAGCTCCTGAACCATTTGTTTCTCGTGGTGTTATAAAAGTGTCGGGCCTCAGTTGTTCTTTCTTTTTAGGTTTTACAGTAAAAGCTTAGGGATCGCTGTCTGGCCGTTTGTTTGTGTGTGACACTGTTTGCGATATGTCTATTTCCTGAAATGTCTTTAGGAGCTGTGAGTGAGAACGCAAATGAATTTTTACATCATGTCCTGCCTCCTGCTGTACCCAGACCCCACCACCAGCGAGGCATTGTCTCGCCAGTGTGAACACGTTTGACCCAGAAATGTTCAAGAGAATGTGAAATCCCGATTTTCAGGACATTATCCAGAATCTTCATGTCTGAAAATTACTTGTAGTAACTAGGGAATAAGTTTGGATTTACATCTATGTTTAAACAATATTCACACAGTTATGGCTTTCTTTAATCTTTCCTCCTTTCTTTAGTTGCTATTGCAGTGCAGATACTCTGTAAAATGCAGTTTCAGGCCAAAAGAGCAAGAGAGAATATAGTAGAGCAAAGCAGAGCGTACAATGACCAGCAGCCTGTCATCCTGTTAGGATGCTACATGCTCACAACATTAATTCTTTCGTATCCTCGTTGTTTCTAATCTTTATCCTGCAGTGCTTCAGATTTTTCCGGCCCTGTAGAACCGGTGGGTAAAATTTTATAACATAGGGACGTTAGAGGGACGGGGGGAGGCACACTGTGGAGGTCAGCATGTTTGGGGTCAAAGAGTAATTACTTGAACTTGAAAATCTGTGTAGTACTCGTTGTTCTGACTCAGCTGACTGCAGCTACTGTCTTTATGGGAAGTAATGGCTTTGGTCTGAGCCGACCAGTTGAATCAATTAATCAGATATTCTCTTTGTGGTTCTCTTTATGTGAAGTCATGGCTTTGGCATGAACCAAGTCAAACTTTAACTGCTAATAAAAATGTGATGTGGAAAAATAATATGTTCCAAATTCAGCTATTAAGAGGCTTCAATAATCTGGGTTAAACAGCTCAATGGGGTATCTGTCCTGGCAGGTGTCAGTGCTTTTCTTTTTTTACTTGTGTTTAAAAAACATATAGTTTCCCATAGCAAACTGTGTAGAAATATCTAATCCTTCTCTCTCCGCTCTTTCTTCTCGTGAACATATCTCAAGAACACCCTTCTTTCTTTCTTTCTTCTAACTTGGTACAAAGGTTCAGTTTGACTCAGGGATGAACTGATTAAATGTTGATGGTCGAAGGTAAAAAGTGACTCTGACTTCACAAAACTACATTTTTGCCTCGTTAACACAATATTTTAAAAATGCCTTAAGAGAATCCTTGGCATAAATCTTCACATATGGATTAATTACTATATGGAAGTATGGATCCATTGGTTCGATTTTCATGGTCAAAGGTCACGATGACCTCACAAAACATGTATTTGGCCTCTTGAACATGATACCTCAAGTCTGCCTTTAGGGAATGTCTTCAAATCCACTTGGACTCAAAGATCGTTTGATTCCGGTGGTCATAGGTTAAAGGTCACATTGACCTCATATTAAAGTGAATGCAGTTTGTCAGGAACACATGGAGGGACTAACATTGCATTGGTTGGTGGAGGCGTACAACCACAGGGCGGTACTTCTAATTTATCTTATAATCTCCCTCTTTGTCTTTGTTTCCCTCTCTCTCCCTCTAATAGATATGGTCTCTGTATGTGTTGCAGGATCACTCTGAACGGGATGAAGGTGTCCAGGCCAGACGTTCGGATCGGCCGCTACAGAATGATTAAACACGAGCGAGACAAACACAACGAGCCCAACCCACAGAGGTACTGCATCACTGTCCAAACTCGTTCTATGGCTTTACATTCAGATCGATCCCACCGCTTATGTTCCACAGCTACACACTCTGCACGCCTCTAACTTTTTCATATCTGTTTGAGAGAATTGGGATAATGTGGTGCTGCAAAGGGCACACTATCAATAACATGTCCTGATAATTAGTGTTAGCTATATTTACTGCTCAGAACACACAGAAGAAAAAATAGAGGGCCAGCAGTGGGACATGATAACAATCACGATTCCCCATTGTATCTGATTTAATTCTGTTTATTTTCCCTGGTTAAACAGAGACGCTTAAACGAGAAGTCTTTCCTATGTTTTTACCTCATTTGTAATCCACATTACCACAAAAACACTATGGCTGCTAGTTCTGCTGCTCCTGTTCTATATTTTTTTACAACCTGTAATTTAAAATTAGACTTTAATCAGACATTTTTAACTGTTTGAGGAGTTGTTAAAGTTTCAATGCTGCTTGGTTCTTTGCAATTGAGAGTCTATTCTGAACCACAACATTTCAGACCAATCAGCATCCGATGAAGGAAGGACCACTGGCAGCTCAGGGCATGTCTTGTGTGCAACAACAATGGTTGGAAATAGCCTTTACCCTTATTCGTTTCGAACAAAGCCTTCTCAGATGGTTCTGCATCAGGTTACAGATTTGAGAGACATTCTTCTTCACTGATAAAACACAATGACTCATAACAGGATGTTTTAAGATGCAAGAAACCTTATAGGTGTGGACATATGCTGAATAAATGACATTTGTAGATTTCAAACATTTCTGGTTCTTTAAATTCACAAACACTAAAACAGACTGTATAATCTAAGTTTCCTGCAAAGTCAGTGCAGTGGAAACAGTTGGATCCTCAGATGGGGCCGTCAGATAAACTAAGAACCAAATAATGGAGCAAAATAAAAAACTATCCTCTGCGGACATCGACTTGGCCTTTACTGGTCAGTGACAGATTTGAAGATTTTACAAAAACATTTCCAATAAAACAAAAATGAAAAGAGATATAGCCGAGGGGTTTAAATGTTTCTCTTCTGGCTTCATCCCTTTGAATTGCTGTTAAAACAAATATGGGAAAATGCTTTCCCATATAAATGTGTTATGGTTTGATGAATGAGAACCAATATTCTGAGATGAGCCCTTCTAGACCTATTTATCACCAGGAGTATAGCACCTCATATTAAGCTGCTTAAACATGGATTATCACTGTTAATTCTCCTCTAGAAGGCCCTGTTTTCATGCCTGGATTGGCCGGGCAGCGATGCCTCTCAACACAAAAATCGATAGCTGCTGCAGCCGAGGCACAATGAAGATATAGTGAACTCGGTTCTCTCCTCCAATATTATTTTAGTGTGATTTCTTGTGAAATTATTGTGCCACAGTGTTTTGACAGGGCTGCACCGCCTCATGGTTTTAGCTGTGGCTCCTAAATTGGTTTATGAGATGATTAAAAATTGCTGGCAACGGGAGTCATGTGAGAGCGGAGTGACAGTTTTTCTCATGCAGTTAACGCAGATAAACGAATTGTGACATATTTGGTGTGAATTTCGTTTCTAGCCCCTGAATGTTCCAGCTGATAAATACTTATTAACTGAAATTAATCAGCTGGTAAGAAGTATCAGATTTGCAGTTAAAAAAGGAATTAAAAGTTTCAATCTACTGAGGTCTTTTGATTATAATTAATTAACAACAAAAAAACAACCACTTCATTTAGTAGTGAAAATGTTTCACTTTCTTTTTAGAAATCCAGAGGTACAGTATATTTCCCCAATGCTCATGACTAATAAGCAGCCAATGAATTATTTATGAAAATGTTTGGAACAAACCACATTTTAATAGAGAAAACCTAACACTCCCTCTGGTCTCACATGTACAGTATATACCTTTTATTGGCAGTTTATTATTTTGGTATTTTGTGAAATTTCTATGTTGATTCCCTTCACCAAGCTAACAAATAAAGATAAAACCAACTTCTGATGTCTGTGAGAACTGACAATTAGCCAAAGGTCAAGCCTGCGACATCAACTGAGAAGAAATAACACTTTGGCGACATTAAGATGTTTTACTGCTGAAATAAGTAACACGTCAGACCTTCATCTAGAAGTGGATTCACTTTCAAACTAACAATCTATACTGTAAAATGGCCGCAGTAACTTCAATATGAAGAAGTCTGAAATAACCAGGCCTGCCGAATATGTCATCCATCATTGTTGTGCGTGAGAGAGAGAGACAGACAGAGAGAGAGAGAGATTCAACGATCCCTCTGTAATTGCCTGCTGAATGGACACCATAGAGATGGGAGCCTGCTAGGTCAGACTAGTCTAGTTGCCTTCATCAAAGTCAATAAATCAACCACTTGCGTGCGTGTGTGTATGCTTGATAGCGTTTTCCTCCTCCTCTCGCTCGGTGCTCTGCTCTCCCTCCCTGGTTTGTGGACCAGACTTCCTCAATAAGAGGTGACACCAACAGGGACACTATTTATTTGAAGCCAATACATTATTCATAACCATACCAAGGGGCAGAAAATAACAGGCCTATTAGTCGGCACAAACGTCATTTCTACAACCCTTCTGGACATTCATTATACAGTCTTGGAAAATTCAGCTTAAAGGATATTTTTGAGAGGAAGTGGGATTTAGACTTGAATAAAGCACAGTGGCTCTGAATAATCAGGAGTTGTTAAAGGAGGGATGACCATCAGGGTTCACACAGTGTTGGAGCTCTCGCCGTATCTCTCTTCTGGTCGGAAATTTTATTCATCACTTTTTATCTCCTGAAGATAAAATACAAATTTTAGATTTCTTTTAATGCAGTTTTTATTTGCAGCAGACTGATTATCTCTCATTCCATCAACCATCTGGTATGATCACTGACAAACCTGTAAGAAACTGTTGAGCTTTTATAGTGTTTACTTCTTTCATTATCTTAATTAAGCGACTTCCAATCAGCACTAAACACAAAGTACAGCTTCAAAACTAAAATATTGGACGAATAGAAATTTGAACCTGAGGATAAAACCAGATTAAAAGTTAGTAACTCATCAAAGTGATTACAGTTCATCCTCTGAGGGTCAGGAAGGTCTGTACCAGATTTATTACCATCAACCCAATAGGTGTTGAAATATTTTACTCAAACCCACAAATGTGAACCTCATGTACGGACCAGAGGAAAAGCCAGAGAAATTAGAGGGATTCATCAGTGTGAACATCTGAGCAAAATGGAAATTCAGCAGAGATATCAAGATATTTCTGTTTGGAGCCGAGTATTTGGACACAGAGGCAGACACACAGATTAATCAATATCGTCGTAGCTACAGAAGACATATCATAAATATAAAGTGAGGTGTATGGAGGAAAATGTTTGTTTATATCTCTTCCAGGACCTTTTTAGTTTTTTTTATTATGATTTCCATATTTCTGAAAAGTTGCATTTCAACTAGAAAATCAATTTTAACCACTTTCTTTTCCTGAAGGAGCTTTACACAAAGGTCTGTGTTTTGCCTGGATGCTATATATATATTTATATGTATGATATTTTCGTCTTTTAAGATGATCACGATGACAGAGGAGATACGTGTAGAGTCATAGATTCTGGCTCACATTTGGTCCAATGAACCTGGAAACGTCACGTTCACTTCCACACCAACAACCTATAACATCAATTTGTCTTTCAGAAATATCTTAAAAGCCCTAAGGTTGTGCACGCAGAGGTCTGTCATTCAATTACACAGATAAGCCGAGCATCTGTCTGTGCACTTAGTCTTCAGGTGCAGTTACCTCTCTGTTTTGATTCAGATTAATGATTGAGCCTTTCGGGAGAGTTTTTCTGGAGTACCTGCGTAATGTCCAGCGTTTAAGGGAAGCATCGTCTCGACTGTTTGATTAATGTTTACCGTCTCGCCCACACGCACACGCATGAACACACGTTTCCTCAAATATGCACACACTCTCACACAGGAGTCCATTCTCTCAGTTCTTTGTGGTGGTGGTTAGGCATAGAAATGAGATACTTGGATGGCAGAAGGAGAAACGAGACATTCATTACCAGCAGAGAGTATCAGTTAGCTCACACGCACATGCACACGCACACACACACACACACATATTGTCTCCAGCAAGCGTGGCTTTGTGCATTGCAGATGAATGAGTAGCACATAACACTGTTCAATATTCCATTCATATTTTACCATCTTGGGAGTGTGTGTGTGTGTGTGTGTGTGTGTGTGTGTGTGTGTGTGTGTGTGTGTGTGTGTGTGTGTGTGTGTGTTAGACTGTCTTATGTGGAATCTATCAAGGGCCATTCCAATTTTTACAACATCCTTTCTGGGCCATACTAAATTATTGAAAACAAATATTATATTACAATTTCTGTGTTTGTCTCTGTCCTCATCTGATTTTATTACTGCTTTTAATTTAAATATTTGCTATTTTTAATATTGTTTTTAATTGTGTTTTTTTATTGACACTGGATTTGCTTCTCTTTGGTGATGCGCCTGATGTCAGATGGTAGTGATGATGGCTTTAGCCAAAACAACTTGAAACTTAACAATAACACATTTTTAGGCTTAATTGCTTTCTTTCCAAGCATTAGATGAAAATATATCGCTCTCATGCTGGATATGAAGCTAGATCAAAGAGAATAGCTTAGCTTAGCATCAAGACTGAAAATAAGGGGAAACAGCTAGCCTGGTGTCGTGTCCATGCGTAACAACATCTGGTTACCATGAATCTTCCAAGCCAAGAATCCTATTTTTGTCTTTTTCAGAGACTTTTATAATCTCAGGTTGATTCCTTTTTCTTTGGATAGAGCCACACTAACTATTACAGATATATCAATCTTTTCACCTAACATTTGAAGCCAATGAGCATATTTCCTAGAATGTCAAACATATCCCCTGAGATGTTTCTCTACAACAGTGATGTAAATATATGCCACTGGGGCAAAAATAACCCCCAGACACTGGCTTGACAAGCTATTGTTCAGATCCTCAACCAGAAATGTTTTCCTGCGAGACAGTCAGTGGAATTAAAATAGAGCTTTACTTAGCCCAGTTAGGAAATCAGACTAATGAATATACAAGGAGGGCTGCCTTTGTCTTGTCCTCTAACTCTAAAATAAAACTGAAATGAGAAAGCTGATGGTTTGAAATGATGCCACACATACAGAAGTGCACATGTGTTTGAGTCTCTCTATATTTATATGGGGATTAGTTTATTCCTTCTAATCTCCGCTGTTATAGATTGATCCAAAGAATTTTCTCTCTCCCTCCGTTCTGATTCACTTTATTTTTGATATCAGTATATCTCGCTCTCTCCATCTGTCACTCTCTCTCTCTGATTTATATTTATCTCTCTGCCTATCTGTCCTCCATTTTTTCCTCCCTGTCATCCAGCCGTCATTTCAGTTAAACCAGCTGATGTTTCTCCTCTCCTTCCCCTCCTCTCGTTTGCACTCTGCCTCTTAAACTCACTCCCTTCCCACGTAGATTGAAGCACCATTCCTTAGTGGACGTCAGAACACGTAATTCTATTTATATCTTCTTGTATTATAAGACATTTTTCCAGCTTCCATTGAAGCCACTAAAGCTCTTTTTGATTCGATTTGAGAGCGACAGAAGAAGGAGGCAATGCAGACAGGGGGGGGAGATGTTCACTAGTCACTTCTGACAAGGACTTGTAGACTCAGTGGTCCATGTCGGACTGAAGTGTCAACTCCAGTTTTACGTCCACGCATATCATTAAGACGACGTCTCATGTTGGAGTCCATCACCATTTTCTTTTGAAAAGTGAACGGGCACGGTGCCGGCGTCTGCACACGTGAGCTCCTCGGCTGTTCTCAGACATAAAAAGCGCTCTTTAAGACGAGAGCGTTGTACACACACTGGAGACACCAACACACTGTGGCCTCATTTCCAATCTTCCTATTATTACTATTATTGTGAGGGTGGAGGGAGGGTTTGTGTTATGAATCTGTCAGAGTTTGCACCACACACAGTTCAGTGTGTTACCGTCTGATAGTGTGTGAATTATTTTTCCATCTTTAATATGAAATCACTGAAATCAGAGCAGACTCTGATGTAACTGCTGAAGCTCAGCCAATGGGGAAGGATACACCAGCATAACTCAAACAAACCGAGGCAGACATGATGGATGAGCCCTTCACTGGGTCCTAGTATGATGCCATAGCACCACCTGTTGGTCATGAGGAGCATCGCAAAAGAATATCACTACAACTCAGCTAAAACAATTTAGCAGAATGGTGATTTTATGTTAATGTCAATGCTGTAAAATAAGTTTAGAGTGTTTGTGATTATTTTAGAGCACTTTATCACTTATTTCCTCTAAAGTATAATTTACAAAAGTATTGACATCATTTTGTTTTTTCGTAATTGCGTCCTCTATTGAGTAACTCTTATGACTTCTTTCGGATGCAAAGAGGTAAAAACACAAGAAAAAAAAAAGAAAACTGTCCAGAACAGGTAGAAATATACAAAAAAATCAAAGGTTTTCAGGCGTCACTTTCTAAAAAGGATGGAAACAACTTATCTACTGTATCAGATGTTGTTTAAAGCTCAATACAATGTTGGAATTTCTAGCACTGTTATGTTTTTAACTAATCAAAAGTTTTCTCTCTCTTTCTCTCTGTTAGATTCAATAAAATCCAGAACACAAAGAACACAATGAAGAAGGATGGCATCAGCTCACTGACCTACCGAGTGGTTCAGGTCAAGCGGTTTCCACTCTACACAAACATCTCCGTGGAGATCGGCAAGCCACCGCCTCGGCCTATCAAGGGCTAGAGAGAGAGAGATGGAGGAAGATGAGGGGGTGATGCAATTTAACTGGAGGGAGAAGGTGGAAAGAGGAGAGATTAAACGAGGGACGTGAAGAGAAAACTGGAGAGTTTGAAATAAGCGTTGTCAGAAGCACATCACAGTCTCTTGATCTCTCCTTAACCTCTGTCTGTTTTTTGAGATTTCAGCTTGTCGTGTCTGTTTCCAGGACTCAGGCTCTTCTCGATGTTTTTTTTCAAGCAGCCAGTGGCTTCTACACCTCCTACATTTACCAATCAGTGACTTCAGAAGAGTGGACCAAAGTATCTGTGGCAGACTGGAGGTTGGCATCAAACTCAATGTCTTTCTGTCAACAATCCTTTTTGTAAACTGGAGAGCATCCAATGGCATATCAACGGAGGTCACTGACAGGAGCTGTGGTTGGGTGATCAAAAGATGAGACAGTACTATCGTGGCGCGCTTTGATAACTTTCATGTCGTATTCTGGAGATGATGGACAGCATCCTGAAGGACTTCTTGGAATATATTGATTGAGGTGATATAAACCAATGATTGAAATCAGGCTGTTAACATGGAAATAAATCAAAAATTGAAGGACACACAATGTGCTGCCTGATGGTTGGGAAATATCAGGAAAATAAACCTTACTAAGAATTCACGGACAGGGGAGCGGGGATTGCCACTGGAGGAAGCTGAAACATTAACACGACGTAACAACGTGCAGTGTTGATCAGTGGAACTGCATCATGACGGTTTGCATATCAGAGGTATCGGCTGACGCTCACTCGACATGTGACAATTTCATATTGACATTTTTCATCAGGGAGTGTCCTGTTTGGATCTAATAACTCAATCTTACCCTCCACTATCAGTTATTGAATGTGTATTGTGCCTGCATCCACAGCAGAAGACTCAGAACTGGAGCTGATACAACGTGTTCGTCATCAGCGACAAACACCCGAGAACTCTCTTTTTGTTCTCATTGTTCTTTTTTTTATATATGAACTCAAACTTTGGAAACCGACTCTGACTTATTAGAACTTTTGCAACAAAAGCAAATACATTGAAGATGCAGAAAGTTTTCTCTTGGGTCTGAAGGCAACATGGTGGAACTACCATGGGAATGCATTTTGAAATAAAATGTAGGACCAGGGCAGAAATATAAACTGACAGCTCAGTTAAGATTTTAACCCCTGTAGTCCATACTGATGATATTTTCAGCTTTATTTAGGTCATTTCTGCATTAAAAGATACAGGACATCAAAAGCCTGTATTCACACAGTGGCCATTTTTCTCTGATGCCTGCACGCTCATGGTGGGAAGCTCAAATGCTGTCGTGGGAAGAATAATGTTGAGCCGCTGTGGTCCAGGTTTATACGAGATATTAACACAGAGAATCTGACAAACTGTTTTCATTACATTGCCCTCTAACTGATCAGTAACTGTAAAGTGGGACATGGGACCATGTTTCAAGGTTAAACGACATTGTTGTTTGTTCATTAGCCATCAATAGCTTATGTTCGCATTAAACCACTTCCCGGCTAACTTCATTGTAAAATGGACTGGAATCAAACTCTAAATGCTAAATCCTCCATCCAGAACAAAGATCCAGAATGTAACAAACTGTGTTTTGTTCCAGTGAGCAAAACGTGAAATGACTGACTCCTCCGGAATATTTCTGAGGTCACCTGAAAAGACACAACAACGGTTAACGTCAAATACTGTTCATTTTCCCACAGTCTTAAATAAATGTGGCCATGAAGTGCTTCATTTCAGAATAAAGACGTCGTCATGGCAAGGAAATAGTTGACAGTAACGTTAAATGTAATATGGTCCCGTATTCCTACAGTTTGAAAATGTGTGTGTTTATATGATTTCATCATGGATCACAGCAATACAACATGATTCTGTATCCGAACGCTTCCCACCCTGAGCATTAAGTCCCAGGTAAATGGCCGCCATGTGGACATGGTCTGTATTTGTTTGAGTGCAGATTTAACTTGGTTGTGATGTACATTTTTCCATTTTTCCTAAACACATATGGGTGCTAATATCAGAAATGAGCTGTCAGGATATAGTCATGATGACTCATGTTCTACAGGAAAAATCATGGTGGCTCTAGTAGATTTTACACCGGCTCCACAGACGAGATTAACTGAGATATAATCAACTTTCTTTTTTGTTTTAGCCTGTGATGTAACCTGGAAGTCAGATTTTCTTTTAATCATTGCAAATCATATTATCAATACTATTACTATGCCATTTTCTCTCTCTACTATATTTTTTCTTTTAATCGTTAAGAAAAAAAGAGAATCATATCCGGACAGAGGAAATTATAAGGTCCTAGTCTTCCGCTGGTGGACATTGTGAATTTTAAAGCAGTAATTGGAGTTTATCGTTTGAGCCGTTTGACTGACGTCCCTATTTCTACTTCAGATTTTATCATCTTCAGTCGTCAGTTCTTTATTTTAGTCTATTTCATCACGCTGTCAGATTAAAGACGTGATGAGCTAAATGAATCAAACTTACACTTTTTCTACTGAATTTTAAAAAAATGTGACTCTCTTCCGTTTGACTAAAAAATGAACAAACGAAACTGATTTCCTCCATCGTCGTATCGAAGCCTTTGACTGTTTTATACTTTGACGCGTTGCTCTTATCCTTTTTGTTGTTTGTTTCTTCTCATCTCTACTGTTGCCGCCTGAACACCAAACTGATGCCTTCGGAAATGACACAAAGAGGCACTGAAGGTTGTTTTTCGCAGGTCATTATTTTAGGGGTAATTCTGTATCACTAAAGGACAATGTGTATAAATGTGCGTTTTAAGACGGATGATACTGATGTGATCATATATTTGTTTCAGCCTAATATCTGTGATGCTTATATGTAAGGAATGATTGGATCTCTCTTCAGCATTCACACATGGATTCACACTCATTTCTGTTTTTCTCTGCATCATCTCCTCTGTCATTGCGTTCTCCTTCTTCCTCTGCCAGTCCAGACTCTGTGTGTCAACAGCACAGTGTTGTGCTTTGAGGTGAATCCACTCCAGACTCTGCTGCGTCTCACTGTAGCTCTTCTTCCTCTCTCAATAGATATCGACAGGGCTCCTCTTTGTGTCTCTGAATCAGTGCCACTTACTGTGTCTTCATTTTATGTATTCTCTCTCTCTGTACTCAAGCCCTTATGTCGCTCCCCCTTTTATCATTGTCCTTTCCTTCACTTTCTCCCACTCCCAATTCACCCTCCCTCTTTTCTGTCTTTCCTTCTTCTTTGTGTCAGAGTGCAGTATGCTCTCCTGGTGAGTTTCAGTGTCCTCGGCAGACAGATTACACATGGAGAGGTCAATGCAGTATCTCCTCTCTTTGCTGTTTACAGCCCACCCTGTGCAATATTCTTGTTTTATTCATCTCCTGCTTTATATCATTGTTTGTGATGAGGTTTGGTTTGAATTTGGTTTTTAACCCAGTCATTTTTTCTTTTTTACTTTATGTCCAAATCGATTTCTTCAAATTTCTCAAATTCACCTTTTCATTTGAAAACGGTATTATCAGCACACAACAGATATAGTCACAGCTATTGCTTTGATTTGATTTTACAGTGTTAAAGGGGGACCCCAGCGATTCATGTTATAATTCCATTTCTAAGTAATGACTTGACAGAAAAAAAGAAAATAGTAAAATCTAAATTTGAGCAGCAGTAGCCAGGATAATCGGACCTTTAGTCACAACTGGTAAAATTCCAAAAGGACTGGAAACTAAATTTCCCATAATGACACTCAATAGTGTCTCTTAGAGGTGCAGAGTGGGAGGAGCTACTCCAGGTAACCCTGGATCCCTTAAACATCTCATGATTTGCATTCTATGAACTTGGACTGACATGAAACTCACTTGAGTATTAGAAAATATTTGCTAAAGCCAGTTTCCATAATGAGAATCAACGAGCGAAATGACGTGCTCCACAGTTCAGTGACACATTTAAAAACATACAGCTTCTAAAACACATTAAACAACCAAGAAAAACTGTGATATTAACAAAGAGAAAATGTGGGTGAAGAAGAAACATCCATCGTTTGCCTTAAAACTTAGTTATGTGCAGTGCTGATAGTAAAAACTACAAATTACCCTATTCTGAAGTCTGATTTTAACACCTGCAGTTTCTGTTAATTCACTTTTGGATTTTAGGTCAGTTGTGGATGAATGAACCAACAATGGTGCCATGTTTTGATCACTTAAAATCGTGTTGAATTTTCTATACTACTCAGATTGTCTTTGAAATAATTATAAGTGGTGGCCATAACAGAAACCTTAAATTTCTAAAATAGAAATTTGTTTGATGCTTCCAACCTCACAACACCCAAATACCCACTTCTGTCAATCCTCCCACTGTATAACACTGTCCATCTGTTTCACACAGACTGAGTTGAATAAAATGGGTGAGGTGTCCCGAGCTTCATCGAGGCTCCTGTGATAAATTACTGGAAAACATTTACGAGGTCAGTTAAACAAAGAAAGTACGAGATGAGTGACACTGGATGGAGGAAATGAAGGATGTAGCGAGACAGACATGGCCACGGTGTATAAACAGTAACATGGATTATGTAAGAAACAGAAACCTGAGCAAAAATCCCTTTTTAAACATTTCCTGTTACTCCAGAATAAGAGGAACCAGAGGGGTGCTTGTTGTTTCTTGATGGACATTTGATTTTTGAAGCCGTTCCACTCGTCGAGCACGCCTCAGGTGTTCAAGTACTCCAAACGCTACTTAAAATACAAATTTTTTGGTTTTGTTCGTCTGCTGCAGAGAGCAGATGCAACTTTCAGGCCTTTGGGCGTTTTTAAAAATTTACTGTATCTCTAGCTATGGGTCTTTTTTGTACATTGAATGTTGAAAATGTTATATCTTATATAGAATGCATTATGTCATAACAAACCTACTTTTTCTATACAATCAATAAATCTGATGTTAAAGATTGTATGATGGTGTTGTCTTCTTAATGTGTGGCTGTTAATGTGCCTGCTTTTTTTCTCAGGTTACACAGGAATGTCACCTGCAGACCAAGGTTATCCTGGAGCTTTAATATCCGCAATTTTTGGCAACCGTGTTTCCTGTTGTCATGACAACCTTTATAAGCCTGTTACTGGTGTCTGAGTCTGCACCAACTCTGAGCCAAAATTCTATATACCACCCTGAGGGTTACAGCTGGCTTCTTTAGTTTTTATTTTCTCTTCCATCTTGCAGTGTGACGCTATCTGTCTTTCTCTCTTTTATTTTCCTATACTTTTCACATATTCTTTCTTCTTTGCAGGGAGCGCTGCCTGGTCCCAAACTGTCAGCAGTGAATGCTCTGCAAGGAAATCAGCATTGTTTGCATCATAACTTTTCACAAAACAGCAAATTGTTCTTGTAGACGTTATGGACAGAAGAAAAAAAACAAAGTGAGCAATAGTTAATGGAAATGAAAAGGTTTTTTAATATGAAATACTTTACAGGATGTCAGTATATTACCATCATGAGACATTACATGGTTTGGGGAGGGGGGTCAGTTCCCTTTGGTTTCAGGCAGTGGATTGAAACCTGCACGTAAAGGAAAGAGTTGACAAAATGGGAAATACAAAATAAACATGTCAATAGGCCTGTTAGCTTAGTTAAGCATAAAGGTACAGTGGTGTTGATCTTCTAATGTAAGCAAGAAAGCAGATTTTGCATATTTTCCAGAATGTCCAACTACTCCTGTCTCTAGATGAGCATGATTGCTATAGTAGAACCGCTCCTATTTCTCATTCTAACACATTCTGACAAAATATAATTTACTTGTATGCACTTCATTTCAAACCTTGCTTTAAAATAATGAAGATTTAAGGCTGAGGAACTCATCGGTTGTAACATTACACTTCATAGAGAAGCTCTTTTGGTGTCTTAGATATAAATAACAGCCTCCAACTCTGCAAATAGACACATGAGATTATTTTGGGTTTTCATTTAAATGTCCCTCTTGATTAAAATAATAGAAAAATCATCATCAATGAGTGGCTGCATACAAAACTATAAAATGACGATTCACCTAATGCTACATTTCATCATACACTGATTCTGAATACAGTAAATGATCGTTTTAACCTGACAATGGAAACAGCAAGGACTAAAGCACTAAATTATGTTTTCTTTTCCTCCTCTACAGTTTACATGCACAAATACAAGTCCATTGAATGAAACTGTTTACAAATGTCTACTACTGTACAGTTATGTTAGGCTATAGCAAAGTCTCTTATACGTCTCTTACAATGTCTCAGGACAAAGTCTCATCCATTGTGTTTCAGTTAGAATGGAAATAACATTTTAAAATGTATAGAACAGTTTCAAATTGTTTAGTGCCTCACTGAGCCATTCACTCGTCTAAATTGCATCACAGCTCTGCATATATTTTTGGTGCAGCTTCAAGTCGTGACAGGTCAATTACAAATCCTTATCATCCAGTAATCTCATTGCATTTGTGCTTCGGCTGTAGTTTAACACAGTAAGTCTGGAAATTTACAAAATGAACATCATCTGGGTCTTTAAAGTTTGTAAACGCCCACTACCTTAAAGATTATAAAAACATATTGTTGGAGTCTATAGGCAGATGAAATGTCAAAGAGCAGAGATCTGGAGTCAGGTTTATTTCTAGTTCCTATCAGATGTCTTTAATTCTGGATTTTTCTTTAGAAGCACAGATGTTAAGAACAATGGTTGCTGGTGTTTGAGATCTATTATTCTTACAACACTGTCCCATTATTGTTATGAGACAGATTAACACAAAACTTGGAGGGAGTATGTTGTATAAATCAGGGAAGTACCCGTAAAATTTTATTTTATCTAAAATTGTGAGATTTGGCTTTTTTTCACTGATTTCCTAGAGAATAATTCAAGGATCTTGATTAAAAAAAGGGCAATTTAGGGAGTGTTGTTGGGCCTTGTTGAAGGTTTTCTAGTATTTGAATGAAGACATTCATCCCTGTTTTCCTGCGTCTGGTGTCACCGTTTTGGTTTTTCAAGAGATACATTTCATCTTCTAGTTTAGCAATATGAAATTGAATCTGTTCGTTTACATAACTGTGCCGTGGCAGCATGAAGCTGTCAGAGGCCAAGAGGGTGAACAATTTGCTGTTGGTCCCTATTGATAGAACTAGTACTCCTGCGGTTGCCCTGAGGTTTCTTTGGGTCAATTAGTTTTTGTAACTAATTAAAACTCACAAAAGCATGTAGAATGACAGCAACACAACAGGGTCACAACTTCAGATGATAATTCTGGACCTCCAGCCTGAGGAAACATTGATGATCCATGCTTGTCCACAAAAGGGACAAATTCATGTGGCCTCGTCAGTGATATAAAAATATTGGATGGATTATCCTTGACACGACCGCTGAGCTTAAAGTCTTTGGTTGCTGTTTCCAAAGATTTCTGTGGTTGCAGATGATCCGTTAAGTCTGACATTTAAGATGACATTTTGTTTTAGCTGCAGAGAAGGGTTCAGCATCGTCTTAGACGTGGCAGGTGTGCAGCTGATCTGCGCTCCAGGAAATTGTATTTTAAGAAGACAGCTGACTCTCTGCTGACAGGCCCGGATCAGTTGTGCTGGGTGGACGGTTGTTCAGGTGTGCAGTTTTTGAGGCGGGAACAGGTAGCAAGACGGTTTCCTTCCCAGTAGCCGGCGTCCTGGCCGTCATGACAGCGACACTTGGTGCAGGAGTCGACCCAGACTGGCTCTCCTGCAGGAATCACCTGACTGCGGGAGGCGTCAGTGTAGCAGTTAGGACCTGGGGAGACGAGCAACAGAAAGATAAGTGTGCTTGACTGCTTGAGTGGATGGTGTTGGGTGTAGTCTGCACCCACCTCTGCATGCAAAGATAGACTGAAGATAGACTAAAGATCTCAGGGTGGCATCCACTTAGTATGAAAAGCTTTTTAACACAGTATTTCTCCATCTTACCCTCCTTGCATTCAGGGCAGCATTTTCCAGGCTCGTAGACGGGGTTGACGCACGGTGGAGGGGCACAGTCTGCAACAAGACAGCGGGCGATGCCATCACTGTCACAGGTGCACTGCTCACATTCTGACGGCTGCGAGAGAACAAACTCAGTGAGACTCAGCATGCGTCGTTTTATAATCTCTTCATGATGTAAATCACAGTTAATCGTTGATAGTGAGCTGGCACAGTTTGTTCACCAGGTCCTATTCATGCCATCTCAATAGGGGGCGCCATTTACCTCCAATTCCCTGCTCTATGCTCAAGTTACACCAACATACAAATCATGTGGTTCAGAGTTTTTTAGAAAGAATTACCATCAAATCTTCATCTATTTCTAACACAGATGTTTAGACAGATTATAGGTGCATATATATATGAATGAAAAGGAACAGTGGTTACAGAACAGCTGCATGAACCAGCCAAGAAATCTAAAGTTAAATCATCAACTATGTTGAACTGGTGCTCATTTTTGTTTTGTGATATCTGTGATAGATAAATGCATAAAACTAGAAAGTTAACGCAGAGCACCTGAAGCTCTACTTGACTGTGATGTTTAAAATGATTAAAAGGGCCAATGTTGTTCTGAGTTTCCTCTGACATTCCTGTTGAAAATTAGCCATGTTACACAAAATATATGTAGCTGCATTTGGAACTTGAGTGAAAATATTTCAAATAAATTGTTATTGATATAAATATCTTTAAAACTGTTTTATTTTACAGTGTTGGACTTGGCAACCTCCTTTAATTCTCTTCCCATTCACACACGCACGTTTGCAAAGATATTATTAGGACTATTCAATGTTTAACGTTCAATCCTGTTACACTGTTCTGCTCACAATGTATGTATTCTGTTTAAATTGTACATATTCTGATTACATTGCATATTATATATACACATATTTCCTTTTGTTTGTGTTACATGGTACTTATTTATTACTTGTACTGTGTGTATTTTACCGTCCTTGCTGCTGCTTCCCCATTGTGGAACCAATGAGGATTATCTCATCTTATCTCATCTTTGCATTGACTTCCATTTGTCAGCTTAACCAAAACCTTATCCCCAATTTAAACCATGGCTGATTCAGGCCTAATCCAACCTCAGCCTAACCACGATTCACATCTGACCCTCAGAAATTAACTTTAGCTTTGGGCCCCGTGAAGTCCACACAAGGTCAGTGTTTATGCTTGAAAATAAAAGTTTTGCAGTAATACAGCATCCTTTTGTCACAGTGGTGTATTTACAGGAGATCATGTGTCTTCACTACCTGGAAGTTTTGTCCCAGCTCGTACACCACTCCGCGGTACTCGCAGCCGATCTTCTCGCACCTGGGGCAGCAGTCGGTGGGGTAGTGGCTGACATGGATGCACGCAGCCGGCAGAGAGGTGCACTCGGTGCGGGCACATGCTGACCCCTCGGCGGTGCACTCACACTGGGTGCAGTGGTCCGAGTCCAGAAAGTACCACTCCCCGACGTAGTAGATGCTGCCGTTGGCCTCGCAGGTGCTGTCCTGCTGCCCGGCGACGGAGAACCCAAACCCGGCCTGCGCGCACAGCAGCAGTGCCAACAGCGTCGCGCGTATCCTGCGCTCCACGGACAGGCGCTCACTGGAAACCTGCGCCATGATGTATCTCACTTAGTCCAAAGCGAGGCAGAAGTTAACGACGGAGCGAAGTGAAACCTCCACAGTAGCTGGGATCAGTTTGGAAAAGTTTCTTCCATTGTTGGATGAACCTCCGCCCGTGCGTCCTCCCTCCACTGCGCGCTGCCCGGGCTGCGCTCACTGCTGCGGAGCCCGGAAGGGGGTGGAGGTTTGAGGGATAAAGAGGGAAAGTAATAATCGCTGGTTCCTTCAGAGGTCACACAGTCTCAGCTCCCGTCTCATGTTCCTCCCCGAGAGGTTAACATCTCGAGATAGACTTCCACAGGAGCTCAGGTGCGACGGAAGTGGCTTAAAACATAAAATAATCACATGTGTTTAAATGAACGTGATGCATTTTAAACATGTACGCATTAATATTTATTTGAACACAACATAAAAACTGTAAAAATGTATTAACTGTATTATTACGTTCAAAGATCTTGCGATATCTTTCCCCCTAGCAACCGGGAAGTTTACCCTGGTAACCACAGCCTTGCTAGCTGCTACCAACAAAACACAAACTGAGGTGAGCAGCTGTTCCTCGCATTTTTTTATGAACTTCACCGGAGCATTACACGATAGTTCCATTATTAAATCTTTAACGTGTTGAAGAATCGCTCCATGAGCTCTTCGTGTTGTTTTAGTAGCTTGCTAGCTAGTCCTGGGAAGAGGTTGTAGCTTCTCTGGCTAACGTTAGCTGCCACTAGCAGACAGTGAATGGAGACAAAGCTGATGAAGTTAGAAACCTTCCTAAAGTTAAAGTACAAATAAATCGACTGAGATGTTCTAAGTACCTGCTTTTAAACATAGTACTTGAGTGTAGGCAGTTGATTTACTACATCATTAACTGTGGATTGTAAGAACAGTAGAGACTCATATTAATGAGGGATTCTGCAGGAAACACTTGAATTGTCACTTGAATTAATGGCTGAGTCTCGGCCTCTTCTGAATCCATGTTAGTTATTTCTTCACCAGTGCTTAAGATGTTAAATAATGGATTGTTAAGAGTAAAGGTTTTTGCTGATTGGATTAAACGAGTTAAGTACAGATGCATGAAATGTCCTTTGTTACATTCTACCACTGCTACCAACCAACCAACCACCTCCAGGCTGTAAATTTCTGTATATTTATATTTATATTTATACCACTTCCCAGAGGAGATCCTTATATTTATACTTATATATCCTTTAAATTTGATGTTTCTCTAGATTTAAATGCAGTATTTCAGTAAATGCACCACATGTTATTTCTTTATTTCCCTGTTTAGACTGCCACTTGTATGCAGTCCCCTGATGAGAGCCAGCTCTGGTGCAGGGGCCTGTCCCTGTGGAGCCTGATCTCTGAACATGTTCCTGGATCAGAATTGTCAAAGATCCGCATGGCACTGGGCCACTTCCTGGTTGACATGTATACAGAAGTGCACACTGAGGTGAGACTTTTATTTTAATTTTTTTTTACATCTCCAGTGTTTTTTCTTTCTCCAGCCAGTCTATAGCTCAACAGCGCTCGGCTTTTAAGCTGTAACATTTCTCTTTGGCTGATTCATCATTCATGTTTTTTCTTTATCCTTTCAAAGACTCCAGACGCTGGGTCTGTTTTCGAGTAAGATTGCTCAAGCAAGAATTTCCACTTGAGCCGGTTGCATCAAAAAATTTGCTCAGCTAAGCATTCCTGGCCAAACAGCTCAAGAAACGTTATTTAGGGTTTGTAAGTAGGTTAGTTTGGCTGCATATGTTTATTAATTACAATGACCAGACTCCCCAATAAAAGTGAAATGTGGGTTAACTGGCATGGTGCCGCAGTAAACTTCAAATGGGAGCCAGGCAGACATCAATATTTACGCAAGGCCAAGTAAACTATTTGCCCCAAAAAGCTCAGCTCTGGCTAAGTGATCTCACTCTAGACACAGTTGCACAGTCAATATGAGAGAAAGTACCCTGCTAAGGTAGAGTAGCACACATCTCACTAAAAAGCCAGGTCATGTCCTTAAACTGTCTTCTTTTTGTCACATAGTGCATACACATGCTTCTGATTTCTTTCACGTCTGCCAACCTCTGTCTTTTCTGTTTCATTGTGTGTTTGTTTGGTATTTAAATCTCTCCATCTGTAGATTTTATCACCTATCTCCCTGTAGTGCATCAACAGGCCAGAAAAAATGTTTAAAACACTTACACACACACACACAGTCTGTCTCAGCTCTCAAAATGTTCCATGTACACACTGACCACATATTGTTTTAGTGACAGTTAAATTCTAAAGGTCACATGTGGCAACTTCAGAACAGGTTAAGTCTGTGTGTGTGTGTGTGTGTGTGTGTGTGTGTGTGTGTCTGTCTGTCTGTCTGTCTGTCTTTGTCATCTTGTACAGGAATCTTTGTGAGAACCACTTTGAGCCTAAAACTGGAAGACATATTGGCTGCTCCTCACTTTCAATGGGATCTTAAAGGGTCAAGATTTGGTTACAGTTAGAATTAGGACTAGGGTAGGATAAGGATAAGGTATGTAGTTGTGATGGTTATGGTTAGGGTAAGGGAGACGTTATACCAATGGATGTCTTCACTAAGATAGAAGTACAAAGTATAATCCACCTACAGCTTTGTATGCAGTATGTGTAAGACCCTAGATGGAAAGAAAGATTTAGCAGTTTGGGAAATTCCCAGCGAAAAGTAAACACACTCACAAAGTGCTTTATCAGATATACTGGCTATTTCCTCGTTTTGCTATCAACACTGCCCCGGTTCTTAGTGGCATGTATTCAGCAAGATGTAGGAAATGTTCTGTTGAGATTCTGTTTCATGTTCTTGTGATTAAATCACATCATCTCTGCAGATTTGTCAGCTGCACATCCATGCTGCTCTGTCACATCCCAAATGTGTGCTGATGGATTCAGATCTGGTGCTTACTGGGTGTTTTTTTGTTTTTTGGCACTATTCTCTAAAGACTGTTGTGCGTGAAAAGAGATCAGCAGTGTCAGAAAATACTGAGAATAGTCCAACACCCTCAAAGTAACTGAGATCACATTTTTCCATCCGTCCATTTTCTTTTGCTCATCTGAGGTCCAGTCGCTTTGGCAGCAGGCTGAGCAAAGTGTTCTAGGGTTCCTGGAGAGGCCAGATGGGATATGTAATCTCTCCAGTGAGTTCTAGGTTTACCTTTGGGCTCCCTCCCAGTTGGGCATGCCCAGAAAATCCCCTATGGAGGTATCATGACAAGGTACAAGAACCAACCCCAACTTTCTCCACAAAATAAGCAACAACTCAACTTCGACCTTTCTTCAAATGTCCAAAGTCCAAAGCTCCTGACCTGTATCTGCATGAGTGTGTACATTGCACTGCTGCATCATGACTGGCTGATTGGGTAATTGTATGAATAAGCAGGTGTTCAGGTGCTCCAGATACAGTGGTGGGTGAGTGAACATTTACTGTGAGGTGGACCATTGCCCTCTCTCTTTTTTTCCCCTTTCCTTGTCTATCTATCTCTATGCCTCCTTTTTTCTCCTTTTTTTCTCTCCTCTGTCCCATGTAATGAATTCCATCCGTCAGTAAGCCACTGGGAAAAGTAATATTGGATTTGCAGGCTACTCCTTCATTCCTTGGCCGGGCCATTCCTCTCTCCATCAAGGTCACCATTGTCTCCGGCGGTGGGATCAAAAGGAATATTTGCCTGTCTTTTAGAGTGTGCCCACAGGGCCAGGCTCCTGTACCTGCAGATAAACTCTTCCTCTCTTCACTGAATGAAAATGAGCTGTTTTGGGCTAATGTTCTCTAAAACGCAATTTAAATAATTTAGAGTAGTAGCTCTCTGTAGTTTTTTTTTCTAACTGACAGGTTTAAACAGCGTTCCCTTAAGATAGCTCCTAGATGAGATCAACAGTATCGCAGCAGTGGGAGGGGGGGGGGAATTCCAGGAACAACTCGTTAGCTAGCGGGGCCTCGAATCCTGTAACATAAACACCTCAACACCCAGAGACAGGAGCAGGAGAACCGTGTGAGGGAAAAGGGCTGTGTGTGTGTGGAGTGGTGGGTTCAGTGTCCTCCAGTATATTTCTTTCAAGTGGCGTTTTTCAACGTGACAGGAATGATTGGCAGGACACAGGTTCGAAGACGTGTATTTAAACCAAACTTGAGTGTGCCCATCTGCATTTTCACATAGAAGGTGTGCATTCAGATGCAGAATACTAACTGCAAAGTATAGTCCTGGGCACTCAGCCCTTCTCCTAGCTTAGCAGGAAGTCACGCATAAAGACTAACTTTTTCACTCTTTTTGTACAAATCCTTCATCCGCAGTAATCCCAGTAAAACTACACAGACTGAAAAACAGCATGGTCCTGCAGCACACAAGAGTGTTTGTCTGGTGAAAAGGCCGACCACAAAATGACTGTGCTCAGCCACATGTAGTTAGTGTCCCTTGCTTCTTAGACATATATAGTGTGAAAGCGGTTTAACAATGTGTGACACTGTTTTCAAAAAGTTTAAGAACACTGTGTTCAAAACAGTTTACAGTCAACAGGGGCGAGGAAAAAAGCTCTGACAATGTTTTTTATAAGAGAAAATGAAAATAAGAATTGAGAAAAGGTTTTTCATAAAAACATAAAATATGAAATGTACCTTCCATGTTACACATGTAGAAGCTTATCCTCTCTTTAGTAATTTAGGGATTACACAACAGGGAAATGTTGGTGTAATATAAATTAACTTTGGTTCCATGTACTCCATTTGCTCCATGAGAATGTATTGTTACACTCATTCAAAGATATTTTTGACTCACTGAGACTCAGAGGTAGTAAGATAGTTCTCACGTGGCTTCTCTGAGACATGAAGTCTTGATTTCATCCTCAATCAGGATCAGCAGTCACTCAATGATGTTCGTCTGAATCACTGCTTATATCATATTGTATCCCGACGGCCCACTGTGCTGCAAACGCGTCACAGTATCATGAGCCATCACCTTATGGATACCGCACAACAATTAATACACTTTCTTACTATTGACATGAAAGAACTCCTATATTTGTAAAACACATGTTGAAAAGGTGTTTGTGTAAAACCTCTGGTTGTCTTCACTAACTGTGGTACTTCTTGAAGGCGGAGATGTGGTACAAGGTGTGGCAGGAGAGCCAGCAAGGCGGAAACCATGACAGCAGGACAGGGACCCCACTCCCACGTCAGCAGGGCTCCCCCCTGGCTGACCCCCCTGCTGTTAAAGAGCTGGTGAGGGCTGAGGTCAAGATGTTACTACAGATGCTCAGAGAAAGAGCCAGCAGGGAGGGAAGGTAGGTGTATGATCTCCCAAACTTAAATTCACTGCACTTAAGGATTCCTTTGGACATACTGTCCAAAAACATAATGGGTTGAATTAATTTGTACTTGTAGGGCAGTACATCTAAATCCAGTGATGATAACAGTATACGTTTATGTACATTAGAAGAAACACAGTACATCCTGCCACAAGGTTTTGTGGTAATCCATCCAGTAGAAGAGTAATCGAGCTTAAAAACAAACCGACTAAGAAACAAACAGAAAGGGTTGAAAGCCTTTGAGGAGGTAATAACGTTAGCTTTATTAATTTTATTGTAATTGTATAGGGAAACAGGTACAGACACTGTGACAGATGACAAAGAGTATTGTCTTTAAAGTACAGCCATAGCTTTAATATACTCCACATGTCCCCAGTTTTACAGCACAGCATGAAAAATTCATACGAGACAATTATTCATCTCTCAGCCCTTAATTAAACTTTATGAAGGCTGACAAAATGGCAGGAATTGGGCTTTTATTTACTTTTTATAGTTGAAATCAGACGGAAAATACTTTTTTAAGGTAGTTTTGGTCCAGATGTAAAAACACCCGTTAAAGTCAACATATGATCTATTTCTCTAACATTCAGTGAATGCAATTTCATGCAAAATCTCAGTGTGAGAGACTTTTCGAAAACTAGGACGCAAGCACTTATTTATGGCTTTTTCACATGCCATGCGATGGGACCGGGCAAGAAGGTTAAGACCCTGCTCTCACACTCTCTGTCATTTTGGCCCAAACAAAGAGAGCCATAAAATACTAAATTGTGTTCCCTTGTCAGTTACAAATGAGATTGGAAAACAGTGGAACAAAGGGTTTCTGCATGGAAATGCTGCGAACTAATTTAGGAACTGATGAACAATAAGTCAATTATAGGAGGGAGACATCCATGCATTCCACAGCAACAAATACTAGTCTAGATTTTAAAGCTTGATTGGATTAAAGGCGTGTTTAAACCTTACATCACAAACTTACAACAGGGAAGCTTGATACTTTGCGTGTCGTTTTTATGAAGTAGTTGTCTGTGAGGTATATGAAGTAGTAATAAAACTTTCTAATTGCTGCAGCTAATCACACAAGTCATATCGGAGATGAGCTTGTAGCAATTTCTAATTTAATGACTTGCATTAAAATATCCCGAAGAATCTCATAAAAACTTTTGGCAGGATAATATCAGTTAGTAAAACTGCCTTTCCTAACACATCCTCACATTACAGTTTAATAGCCTAAACGATGTGTCACAATGTGTATGTGTGAGTGTGTGAGAGAGAGTGTGCAGTCGTATGAGCTGGTAACTATCCCAGCAACTGGCTCGCTGCTGCCTGGAATGTTGCCCCATGACACCTCTCTGGTTTCACAGAGGCTTTTTATGAAAAGCACAGATGGATTGTTCTCCGTTTTTGTGACAAACCATTTATTGCCTGTCAATTTGTCGCCTTCCTTTTATTGTGATTTTGTCTCTGTCCATTTAAGTTGTAGTTTTAAGCTAAAGGCAGCAGGAAACTGTGGGGCTTTGTGTGTGTGTGTGTGTGTGTGTGTGTGTGCGTGCCTGCGTGCGTGCGTGTGTGCATCCTCCATTTGGAATAACTGCTGTTAACAGATTTGTGCCAGCTTGACTTAAAAAATGAAATGATCTGTATTAAAGACATCAGTATCCACACACACCTCAAATATGGACAATATACAATATAAAAAACATTAAATAATATGAAGGTCATCATCATCCATGAGATATTCTCTGAGAAATGAATGGTAGGTGTATAGGTTCTTTCCTGACCCATTCAATATCGTTCCACCAAGTTCCGTAGTTTTGAAAAAATAAAATAACCTGCTGATGGAGGTAGTTATTTTTAAAGCTGGGACAAATGAATAATTTTTGTCAATGTCAATAATGCTTTAGGTATTGAACCAAACCATATTAAATAGGAGACAAACAAAAAAAATTATTCTGAGGGAAACTTGAACATATGAACCACATTTAATGGTAATTAATATAAAACAGTAGTTGTTGAGATGTTTCCGTCAAGACTACAAACGTGAACCTCATTTTTGGGTGATAGGAAAAAGATCATCAGACTTATGATACACACTGTGTGGACTATGAATGTCTGCACAAATTGTAAGCACGTCTGTCCAATACATTTGAGATATTTCAGTTTAAACCAAACAACACTGATCCCTATATGAGCAACATTCCCCCGTTTTAATCTCCTGCACAATTAAAAAGGTTTTGGAATATATACTGTAACCCTGGTGCTTGTTATGGCAGCTCTGTTGACAGGGACAGCAGCACGGCCTGATGTTTAAGTTGACAATCAAGTAACCATGAGGCCACTGAGGCACCGTGACTATTAAAGTGCCACTGAGCAAGACACAGACAGAAGCCTGATTCGCTCACACATCACAAGTCACTCTTGTAAAGTGCTGCGGCTCGGATGTAAATGGATTATAATAAGTGCCATTCAGAGGGAGAAATGTAGCCCTTTGTTATTGGCTGCATGGGAACAAATCCAAGTATTGGTGCCACACAAGTCCGTGCCAGCACAAATCGCTTTTGCTCTTTGAAGTTGGCTTTAGTATACTTGTTGATTTTGACGCATGGCACTGTGTGTGTGTGTGTGTGTGTGTGTGTGTGTGTGTCTGTGAGTTTCAGGCCTTTAATCGTACAATTAATTAGGCTAAGTCCCATGTGTATATCGGGGCTAAAACTGTTCACACTTTAATTGCACTTTCACTTAAAGTTAGTGTGTAGTATTTTGTGATATCTTGTGTTGAAATTGCATGTTGCAGCTGAACACCCCTCACCTCACCCTCCACTTCCAAACATGAAAAGAAACTGTGGTAACCTTTAATTGTCATAAAAACTCAAAAGGTGTTTAGTTTGTCCAGTCTGGACTAATGTAAAAAGCATGGCAGCCTCCGTAGAGAGGGTCCCCTTCATGTAAATATAAAGTATTGGAATATAAAGTACTTAAATATATAGGGCCTTTTCTGGGGTAAAGAAAATTCATACAATTTAGATGAAACGAACTAGTCAAAACATAATGAGGATTATTCTATATTAAATTTCTGCCAATAGTTCCCTTTCACCTAAATCTGACACACTGGACCTTTAACTGGATTTGCAGCAAAGACCTAATGCAACTTATCTGTGTGAATCCTCATTAACAGCAGCAGCTAAGTGCCGAGGAAGACGACAGTAGTGCTCATCCCCACACCAGATTTCTCCTGTGATTTGAATCATTTGTTTGAGGGTGTGGGTGGGTGTGTACCTTGTAAAAGTCAACTGATTTATCTTATTGGCCTCCTCCTGTGGGGCCCTGATGCACCAGCCATCCACCCACACCTTCATGTCATTGTCTGAGCAGCCAGAGAGAAGGCATTTTCCCTCAGTCAAAGGCTATAAAATGACACAGAACTGACCAGACTGCAGCTGCCTGCACCAGTAGTTGGTTTATTTTTCTCCAATCATTAGGGATCATTCTGAAAATTCATGTCTTTGCTTTTTTACCCATGAAATCTTGTAAATTGTATAATTTTAACTAAGCTTAAAGCGCTAATAGATCAACCTGCTTGGAGCAACAGTGTGACTTTTTTTAGACTCTGTTCAGCTATTCATTTCAGTGCTTTACAACTGAAAGACAATAAAAAAATTAAAAAACAGAATATTGCACATGAAAAATAGACATAATAAAACCAATACAATTGATATAAGGCACAAAAAATATAGATTTAAATAATCTAAAGTAAAACATCAAGTTTCGAGATGTTAACACTCTCAGGGCAAGCACATTATTCAGCACACCGAGAGAGAGCAGTGAAAAAACTGCAGATAAAGTCAACTGACTGAGGTTTCATCTTTGTATGTACTGTCGTTGCTATAGAGACGGCGAGGAGCTCCTATTTCGGTACAAACCTGAGACTGTAAACTACGCCCTTGGTCACCTTGACAGACGTTACAGTAACTGTTTGAGCCCTGGAGATACTGAGAACGGAAGCAGGTTTGAAAAATATTTTACTGATGTGATACAGTGCGTCTCATCATGTAGAAAATCTCTTGAAATCACCTCCTCTTCCTCAGACCAAGCTCTCGTTGTTCAGTCCAGTCCAGCGCTGAAGACGAGATTGAGGCAGTTAGAGACAAGCTGAATGTCACTGACATTGACCAAGTGGTGGATCGCCTCAGGTAAGCAGCACGCAGCAGTGGTTCCAAAACACTTTGACTTCACTTTTATGGGAGCGGTCACATCGTCCATCTTTATATACAGTCTGTGGTCCCAACCCATAGGTTAGATACCACTGGCATACAGGGTCCAGCCATGATGCAGTCATTATCACATGTTGCACTGGAATGGTACGAATATCTAAATTAATATCACGGACCATCTTCGATTTGTAATACAATGAAACGTAATTCAATGAGAAGACACACATCACTTGTGTTTACTATACGTATCCTTTTCTTTGTGGTGAGTTTGTCATAAATGACATTCACATGTGCTCAGTAAGTGAGTTCCTCTGAGCTCTCTCCTTTCCCCTCATTTTTTCCCCCCAGCTCTCCTCTGTGGCCTCCATTACACGCCATCCCTCCTTTCCTTCCTCTACGTCCCTTTCTTTGAGGCCCACGGGGCAGCGCAGTCGCTTGGGCTACCTTAGAAGGGAGCCTCCCTCTCCCTCTCTCTCTCTCTCTCTCTCTGTCTCTCACTCTCTCAACCATTTCCTGAGTAACCAGAACAAAAGGACCCATTGTCATAAAATGGATCCCAGACAGGACAAGAGGAGGCAGATTCTTTTTCATTTAAAAGTAGTGAATAACGTCTGCTATGGTTATGTAACCAGAGGCAGGGGAAATTGTGGAGAGAGGGAGGAAAAAGAAAGATAGGACACTGTTTCCTCAGAACCGTAAGAAAACCACAGAGGCTATACTCTTGGCAGACGTCAGGTCTGTGTGATTGGATGGTGCCTTTCTGCTTATATATCCTCTGACTTATGCCACTACATTTCATATGCTACTGATAAAATTGCTCATGTTAATAAAATAAGTTAAATGAATTTGTTTTCTCAATGATTTGTGTCCTGGTTGAGATTTAAACACCTTTCGCAAATGTGGTCTAATAATGCAGGACACAAAATTCTAGGGGCAGTGAAACCAAGTTATTGTCCTTTTCGTAAGATCTTTGTTTAAATGAAAATCTTCACCATTTTAAAGGAAACATTGGAGCTTTAGTGTTTGTGAGAGTCTGAAACACTTAGTTTCCACTTTGACCCAGTTTATACGTTTGGCCTCAGCTCAGTTTACTTAATGAAAAGCAACTGTGCTGATGATAAATATCAAGACTATTTTCTTCTATCTATGTCTCTGTCTGTCTGTGTAGGTCTGTGCTAATGGAGGAATGTGAAGTGTTGAACAGACTGGTGCAGGATTTAAAGGTAAGACAAACATTAGTGAAAACAAATTTATCTTTATTTTATCTCCCAGATCGTAGTGATTCAAATTCTAAAGGTATTTCTAGGAAACCAGGCCACAGTCAAAGTACTGACTGATGTGCTGTTGTTAGACCATTAATTTCAGAATGGCATTACAACCTTGTAAGGATCTTGATTTATGAAGCTATACTTGACCTTGGAATTCTATTGCCTAATTACATTACGCTATATGTACATAATTGAATCTAATAAACTCTCTTGCTTGTTTTAGTGTTCCTTGCAATTGCACTCTTTGAAATTTTACTAGAATGTAACACCACAGTAGGATTTGAACAATGTTTATCAGGTTTAATTGGTTTGATGCTAATTGTTAAATGATTAATTTATTTATAAATACAAAATCAGAACTAAGTGTCCCACACAATGTATCCAGCGCGGGTGCACCTGCTCACACACACCTTTCATTCTCATATGCAACAAAACCCGAGTGACTGGTATACAGACAAGAGAGTAAAAGCTGTAGTGAGAGAAATGCATCAAATGCCACTGGCAGCTACACACACAGCTGCAGCTGGAACTGAGGTGTGGCTGTCTGCGTGGATGGTAAAAACTTAATGAACAATAGTGCAAGTGTGCAAAAGGAAAGACCAAGTGAGCATGAGGCAAATAGTGCTGAAGACTGATCTACAAGGAATCTATGACATACTAACTTAGAATATGGTGGGTCGCCAGAGTCTGATACTGACTGTATTAAACTTTGGTGATTATTTCCATTAAAATGTTTTGATTTCCTCAAGCAGGGACACTAGTTCTACAAATTAAAACTTTAAACTCTAAAGTTTGAAACACTCCTTGAACTCCCCCAGGTAGCTCTTTTAAATCTCTATACTACCAAGGTATCCATTTACACACACAAACACACACACTCACACACTTGAGGCCTGCAAGGGCTCGGTCTAAAAGCTTGTTTTTCCATCTGTCTGGCCAAGAGCTTTGCAGTGCTGAGTAAGATCAGTCCCCTTGCAGTCACTCAAATAGGTTACTGCATACATATACATACATGTAGACAGACACATAGACAAAGACACACACTTGCATGCGTGCCTACAATCTGATTACACTGTCATGCTTGTTCAGCATTATGAAAGAAACAGGGAGTGCGATGTTACAGGCCAGATGTCAGACTTTTCTCCCGAGCAGATGTAAAGTGTGGAGCTCCTCACATGTGTGACTGTCTGGAAGTATTATACATTGCCACTTTGTCTGGAAACAAAAAAGGCGGAAAATGGGAATTTGCACATAGAGGACAAATGACCTGTCAATAACCCTATGAAGTCTGTTTATCAGGTGTTTATACAGAAAATCTAAATCAAATGTTCAATAAAAAAATGACAAGCAGCACAGATTATGGTTGTAGAACTCGTAATCAGGAATTATTTAATCAAAGTTAAAAATTCTTATTGATAACAAATATGTTAATTCATGTACTGTCTCCAGTTTAAGGCTTCATGAAGCCACGCCTGCTGAGACTATGACACAGGAATAGTGGAAGCTGTAAGTAGAGAAGCTAATGAGCTTTAAAGTAGTGGTTTCTCAATTCTCGCTGCAAAAGCCAATCAAACAATATTCTTTTTGATTCTTGCTTTAGTTACCCAACAATAATGTCTAAAATATTTAGACTGTAGTCACAGATCCACTGATTCAAATTGTCATTGTGTAAATGTGTTTGAAGGAGAAAAGGAATTTGGAGTCTGGTCCAAACGTGAAGATTTTACACATTTGAAGAGCTAAGCAGGAAAACATTTGAACTTTTCCAACTCAATCTCAGCGCATGAGTGTGAACATCTGTTTTGTATTTTTCAAGGCCTGTCACAATTAGTCGGATCTTTCTCAGTTTTTATTGTCTGTGCTGGTAATTAACTGGAAATAAGAAGAAAATGTGTTAAAGTCTAAAATGATTCTGTCAGTGTTTGTCAGTGAGCTGTAAACAAGGTACTTGATTAAATTGGAGATAAGTGCTGTGTCTGATGAGTGCCGCGAGCTTCTCATCCACCCCCATCGTGTTTGATCTGAGATTGCTATTAATGTTGTGTTATGCCATGAAGTTAAATTATCTAGTTTTTATAGCAGCTGTTCACTGGAGCAGTGAACTACGATCGAATTGTCTTTTTAGTGCATCATGTAGCAGCAACTGTTTCCAAACACAACAGTGATGACTCATCGTTTCTTAGACAACAAGACTTGTTAAAACAAGTCTTAACAATTATGCTAGTTAAAGAGTTTATAGTGGCTATTGAGTGTAAAACCATCTGTGGAAGCTATTCAGAAAACCAGTGTACCTCCAAAGTTATGGTCGCCTTATTACATAGTTTTGTTTTTACACAAAAAACAATTGAAAGATTTCCATGAAACTTGGTGGAAGGGTGCGGAATGAGTGAGGGAGGTTTTTTCTGTATTATTCCAACATTGTGATGTCGTGTTGCCGGACATGTGTCTGTGTCACCCTCTATATTTTCGAAAACTGAAGATGATTCTGCACATTTTTCATTCACTATTTTCCACATAAGGTTCCTCATGTAAGCTCACTGCATCACATCCAAATACACAAACTGACTTACGTCAATGCATAAGAAGTTTTGCCTTTATAGTTGTGTAGTTAAAAATAGAACAGATGATGTCAGTCCAGGGGTTTTGGCTATTAATACTATCAGCTGTGCTTTTTCAGCACAGGAGCACCACAGCTTTGCTCATACTGTGATGTTAAATCGAAGGCAGCAGTCATGAAGAAACAGCAGTTAGAACATTGTTATCCTTTGTGTTGTGATGCATATCCAGGAGACATGCAGTCAAAATACCTCATAACCTAAACATGTTTACCATTAAATCAATAATGGAGACTGATTGAGAAATCTGAACTATCATATTCTGCAGCACTATGTGTGGAAACCAGTATAGAGCAGCACGTTCCCAGGATACAACAGAAATGATCACCTGAGATGATGAAAAGATGGCCTCCACCACCAGCAGCTGGTGTCAGCTGGATTTTGTAGCAGGAGTGGCAATCCATGTTCTTCTGTTTCTGGTTTTGCATGAGCTGAAGGGGGATGTTTTGTGTGTACACTGTATCATGGGCGGATTCTAGTTTTAGAAGCTCATGTAAGAGAGTAATGACAGGAACATGCAAGCTTTCCTAAAATATCAGCAAGTCAAACCCCCACATGGACCACAAAGCCTATTTTCATTTTGTGTATGTGTGTGTGTGTGTTTTACAGCTGTTTGGGATTTCAGTCACTTTGCTGTCAGAGACACCGCACATTCTTCATCTGCTGCTCTGAAAGACAGCACCAGGAGATTTGGGTTTGAATCCCACTGGGAAAATAGACCAAAAATATATATTTTATCTGTCAGTCTACAGGCCTGCGGGTATGTTTGGGTGTGTGTGTGTGTATGTGTGTGTGTATGTGTGTGTGTGTGTGTGTGTCTGTGTGTGTCTGTGTGTGTGTGTGCACATGCTTGTGTGTGTTTCTTTGTGAAATGTATTATATAGTCTGCGGTTGCCATAAAGACTTTCTATTAGCATTTGTGCAAGTGTAAAATGAGAAGCGGAGGCTGCTAGTCATTCATAATCAACACAAATACGAGACTGTCTTTTCAATCAAATTTTTGGTTTTGCAAGCGATGGACACGCACATATACACACACACACACACACACACACAGGGACAAAAAAGAGAGAGAGTGCTATGTTTTTTGTTGCTCTGGATGTAGATTTTTGAGGCCAAATTATGATGGAACACTGCTGCTCAATCGTTTAGTGGTCACACACACACACACACACACACACACACACACACACACACACACACACACACACATTCCTTTCCTCTTTCTCCCAAAGTTATTTTTATCATTTGTCCTTATTCGCTATTTCCAAGTGTTTTTTCATGAACATGTTTAAAACATTTACACTGTACACTCCTCATTAACATAAACTCTTTCTCTGTCCCTGTGTCTTGCAGAAAAATATTAAACAAAAGTGCAGGAGTAAAAGTGGTAAATCAGAACCTTCACTCTCAGGTGAGTCCAGATAATGACATTGTGGTGTTTGCTGCCATCTGGTGGCACAGTAGACAGTACATTTACAAATGAAAAATGAATGCTGATAGATTTACCCACCCTCCTGCCATAGCTGGTAAAACACAGTTTCAAATCTGCAGAAGCTTCATTGGGTCAAATGCAATAAAAGGTAATTTAAGGACATGAGGCAGCAGCCTAGTTAAAACAGCAAGAGTGTAATCAATCCCCAGACTTGGATGGAAGTAGATGGTTTCAATATTTTCATGCTTTTTCAGATTTGTTGTGTTTGTGTGTGTGCAGAGTTGAGAGAGTTAAGAGGTGAAATACAAATGGACTTGGAGCTTTACCCCTCTTCATTTGCCACTTCATCCCCGGCCTCGCCCTCTCTCCCTGTGAAGGAAATGAAAACCAGGTTCAGGTTTGTAAGTTTTGTTGTTAAGCACCTCTCTTAACATGGTTACATAGTCTTTGACCAAAGCCACAAGGAGACGGTCTAATATTTTACATAAATATGATAAATAAAATATTGTCCAGGAGATACAATCAAACAAGTCCATGAAAAGGCATCTTAAAATGGTTTCTAGCTGATTTTCAAAGTGCAGATCTTCTTAGAGGACGATAACATTATTCATAGAATCGTATAGAATAGAGAAAAAGCAGTTTAAAAAAAAAAGTAATACAATCTCATAATTAATTCAAATGAAATTAAAAAGAGGGGAAGCCATGCAGGCCAACCACACAATGGACTGTCATCTAAAACTAAATTAGAATGAAAGTCTGGAAAAGGCCGGGTTCATCAGCCCAAACAAATGAAGTCTAATTTGCATTCTGATTCCTCTCCTCCAGACGGTCAACAGAACGAAAGGCCTCTGATGAGACTCTACAAGCTTTTTACTCTGCATCGGTCCCAAGACCACATCCACCTCCTCCTCTGTGCCAGCCCAGGCCACCAGCCGGACCTCCTCCCGCTAAGACTTCTGCATCCAGGACTCATGGACACACATTAGCGTCTAATATGTCAAGCAGGCCACCTATCTGCCCCAAACTCACTACTTCCAGGCAGACGATTAAGAGCGATCACCACCAATCTCCATGGCAACATAGTGCTGGTGTCCACTGCAGGCCCCCGACTTCTAGTCCTAGTTTCCAAATAAAAGCTGAGAGCGACTCACCTGTCCATGAAGCCAAACTTTCATCCCATGGCAGCCTGAGCAGAGAAGATGATTTACCACAGAGGGAGAGGAAAAGCAGCCCCAGAAACATCAGTGTTACCCCCTCACACATTCCGGCACTCAGCCCTGTAAGTGATGCAGGCAGTTACTGCAACAGTAGGACTGACTATGCTGGGTCAACATTGGGGAAAACAGAGACACAAAACGGGCCAAGGAAAAGTACCTGTGGAGGTGGGGTAGTGCAAGCAGATGATGAAGAGAGAAGGAAGAGGACTTCTGGGAGTTTTCATTCTTCAGTCATGTCTGAAACTGGGAGCTGTCCTGCAAGAAACAGTGACAGACAGAGCAACAGTCGAATCGATAGTAATCTTGAGAAGGCAATCACCTACCAGCAATGCCTTAGTAACCACTGTTTGACAGCTCACTCCTCCAGTCATTCAGGAAGCAATTGTGAACAAAGAAAGATCAGAGCAGCCATTCAGCCGGCGTCCGTACAGTTAGAGGGAAAAGTCTTTACTTTCCCCAAAATACCACTCAGAGGTGCCACAAGTCAACCAGCGAGTGTCCAGGAGACACAGACAGAGCCGGGGGTTATCAACAGCTTTTACCAGCCAGTTCCTCCTTCAAGAGTGTCAACATGAAGTCAGGCCCAGACCAAATAGAAAGTGTTTGGTGTTGTGAAACATGATGTGTTGATGTTGAGTTGCATACTTGGTGTAAGTGGAGAAAAAGAAATTCAATATTTTCTCCGTTGTACCTGTTTTTTTAGAGTTTTTCTATCAGACATGAATTAGAAACTTGTGTTTTGGGCAAAGAGCAGTCATTTCATTTCTTGTAATTGTTGTGTCCAAGTATTTGAAAAAGGGAAAAGTCCAAAAATACTGTTTCACAAGAAATATTTGAACATGACGGTAGGAAAACCACAGGTGTAACTAACAAGGTGTTCTTTTCCTACATGTCCAAATGTCGTTTGTACACACGGCCGGTTGTCAATGCTTCATCAGAGGCAATTATACTGAAAGTGTAGACATAGATAATAACTGTCACTGGGGTTATACATGTGTGAAGTGTGGTCCAATAAAAAATAAAATGTTGATCAACTCAATTAAAACCTTTATGGAGTCTTGCTTCAACATTGTTTATTCAGGTTTCACTGTCTGTCTGAAGTCACTGACGGAGCATGTTTTATCAAATAGAAGTCGAATGTGGGGTGAA